GATTACAGTATTACTCAACTTAAACTGATTATTGTTAATCATTTGAATATGTTGTCTCTTAAATTTTAAGATTATTTCCCTTCAAATCAAGACCCAAGAGATGGTTTCTTATGGATTTTGGATCCATTCAGTGCCAATAGCTCAACAAATACTCTATCTACGAATGAAGAGGATATGTTGGCAGATCTTTCCTCAGACGTCACGTTGAAAAACGTAAAAAACAATTCATCTCTAGATAAATTTTGGATAGAAGTTCACAGCGAATATGAGGTATTAAGTGAAAAGACGTCGGGAGTCCTACTTCCTTTTCCTTCAACATACTTATGTGAAAGTGGATTCTCAGCAGTCACTGTAACCAAGACTAAATATCGAAAAAGATTGAATGTGATGCCGACACTAAGACTTTCATTAACAAACCTTACTCTAGATATTGATAACATATGCAGTCATATTCAAGGGCAACCTTCCCATTAAGTTTCATGCAATAATTGTATTATTATTTTTTCTGTTATTACAATCTAATATAAATTTAATCTAATTAAAATATATAATACTCAAAAATTATAGTACTCTATATATTCTCAATATAATCTAAAATCTAAATTCTAAATAAATAATTTAATTGTATTTTGCTGTATTTAGTATTTTAATCACTAAAGTTTAGTGCATTGCGAATGTTGCCGCTTATCGCCTGTTTTGTGTACCCTTCTTTTTTAAAGATATTTTAAGAGGGGTTCCGCATGAAAAAAATATTATTGCCTGGTGTTCTGTGATATCAAAAAGGTTAAGAAACACTGCATTACATAATATACATCGCGCATTTATTTTGGCACTGCGGTAGTAGGTACGCCGTGCCTTATCTGATACCCATATTACCGGCTATTGTTATAATTGTATATTTTTGTTGACGATATGCAAATGTATAGGCGTCAACAGATTTATTTATAAACTATGATTTAAATGATGCTGATAAAAATCTTGTAAGTAAATTGTTATATTAATTTATTTTTTATACATTTTTACATGAATGAATAAATACCTAGTTTTATTGCTTTTAATTATTTATGGGTTTTTTTTTGTTAATTAACTAATACAGATTTTGATTAACGTATGGATTCCRGTAGAATCATATAAATTCCCATTAGTTGAAAAGAATAAAATTAGAAATCTTAGATTTCAASATCRTTGGTTACAATTATACTAGTGGTTAGCATATTCAGAAGTTAAACAGGGTGGTTTTTTTAAAGTATGTGTGGTTTTTTCAAAAGTCGATAGAGTTGGTGGTCAAAACCTTTGTGTAGRTACTTCTAGTGAAACCAATGGACAGCTTTAAAAAAGCTTTAGAAGTAAGTATTAAAACGTATTTTCAACATACCTACCTATTTTTAAAATGCAATAAAATAATTACATTATTCTTCATTTTTATAATTATAAGACTTTAAACAATCATGCTAATAATGAATATTAATAATTAACATTACTAAAAGCTGATAGATTTTWAAAAATTTGTATGCAAAAGTAACCAGAGATTAACAACAGCAACAAAAATGATGAAAGGCAAGTTTGAAATTTAATAATAACGCTTTATTTAAATATATGATTGAAAATGTATGTTATTTAGGAATAAACAAGTAATTGAAAATCGAAAACTTTTAACTTGTATTATAGTATGTATAATGTAATGTGGCCGCCAATAACTTGCGTTAAGAGGCCATCGAGATTTTAGTTCAATTTCATTTGATGGTTAGTTGAATTGTAACAAATATGTTTTTACGAGTATATCACTGAAATC